ATGTGTCGACGAGTTAGGCGAATGAGCTGATTGTATTGTTTGGGAGATTAGTGTACCACTGAAGAGCTGGGCTGAAAAGGCTTGAGCCGAAGCTCTTACACATGTAGGCTTCCCTTAGTGTTCGGGGTATCGAGACAATAAACATCCACTACTTGTAAGAGGCTATGTGGCCATCTGGATCGATTGTGCCATCGTAGGGCTTCATGCTGGGGATGGTGAATTTGTGAGGCATCTCGGCTAGCGCGATTGCATCCACAAAGGGTGAATCGGCATAACAGTGAGGTTGGCTCTTTTTGGTTGGGATTGGCACTCCTAGTATGCGCATCATCGCTGCCTTTATGTCGGCCAGTCTTTTTGCCAATATCTGCTCTATGGGAGAGGCGAAGACCACTAGGTCATCCTGGTTGACTCGATTAGTCATATGATTTGCACTCGGTGCGTTTTGTTAGGTCAATCCATGTGGTGTAACCTGACCGATCATTTTGTCATGTGCCGCTTGGTAGCCCAGATCTCAATTCATTCCCTCCGGTTGGGTGGCTTCCATTGTGACCGATCGGGTGTTTCGCCCCACATGGATGGTTAGAGGGGTTATTTGTGATTTGCTCAGTCCGTTGGGATGGATGGACTCGAGCGGGATGGTGTGAAGGAGAGGGAGCCCGCTTGACCCGCGAGGATGAGTCGAGCCAAGTGGGGTTTAGGTAAGGATGGTTGACTGAAGGTGAGACGGGATGGCAAGGATGGGTGGCTCTCGTTGTGATGGGCTTTTTGTCACTTGGACACCTTGATCTCGTGCTTGAAGTGGATCAACCGAGAGTGGTTCTATCGGTAGCCCCCGTTCATGATGATTCAAGGCTGAATCATCCACTAATGAAGAACATAGTTGGTGCGATCTCGTATCTGAGATCGTTCGTCTCTGCTCTAGAGTTTGGAGAGGTTACATAGAAGGAACTGATGCACGCAACCAATTAGGTTGTATCTGACAACGCAGAAGCTCAAGATCATAAAACTGACTTACCTTCTCTTTTAAAGACTGGTTTTCAGCCCTGATTGAGGTGTTTTTGGTCCGGATGGCAGTGTTCTCAGCTTCCAGTGCAGTCACCTTGTCCGAGTGCTGTTGCATATGGGTAGTTAGAGCTCCTAGTTTGGCCTCAAGGCTAGGGTTACTGTTATCAGAATTTTTAGCCATAGAGAGTTCTTTACGTAGCAGGGTCTGTGAGACGAATGATTGCCAAAGGCCCCACGGTAGGCGCCAAACTGTAGATGCAAAAATCTACCTTTACGAAAATAGGGACTAATCCCATGAGGTTGAGGCCACTAGCGATCTGCTGCACTTGCACACATAAGAAAACAAGCATGAAGCAGACAGAAAACATCGAGGTGGTGTTTGTCATAGGCACTCCGATACTCAAGTCAGTAAGGCTGAGTGAGGCTAATTTAGTGAGGGTTAGGGAGAGAAAAGGTTACCAAAAGTCTAGTCGGGGACTGTAACTCTGGCTGTAATGCGAATTTGTCAAGAACGGGAACTTCGAGGTCTAAAGGTGTAATGTCTCTGTCCTTTGTGAGAGTACTGACCTTTGTTTAAATAGTGACTACAGGGTCTTCGAATCCTGGTGGGATTGGGAATCCTTGCAGTGGTGGTTTTATGAAAGAATGGAGCCTTTGGCTCCCTTACCTCAGTAGGAAAAGGAGTTCCAGCGTGCCTAGGATACGGACCTTGGATGAATTAGGGTAGTGATTGACTTCTTTAGTAGAGTTCAGGTAGTAATATAGTTCGTAGGCAGCTTTGGGCTCCAAGTTGATCGTAAGTCCAGAAGGTGTTTTAGGATCAAAAGGCCTGGGTCTAAATAAGCTGGCCGTGAGGCCTAAACGGATCGAGCCTCTACTGATTGGGTCCGAATGATGAGCAACTAGGAAAGCATACCGGACGGGCCTTATCTGCAGCACTCTGTTGTGGGCCCAATCGGAATTGGGCCCTAGCTTCCAGCTTTGTTGAAGGTGTCTTCGTCTCCCTCATCACAGATTTACATAATTTTCATTTTCTTCCAAAACAAAAAGCAAAGACAATAGGAGCTAGCCGTTGGGAACATTCCCACCACCACTATAAAATTTTTGTCTTGTTTTACAATCAAACCCTTAAAGCCTTAAAGATCACACACATACAAATAAATAAATATAAATATAAATATAAGTTAATAATAAAAATAAAAAGGACCCCATTCGATTTATTTATTCACCAACTCAAAAGAGCATTCTCCAAAGCATGAGATTCAAAGCAAAAGATTGAAAGTTAACATTTCCTTTTACATAATCCGTTAGCATGTATATCTCTCTCTTGTCTAGTTACTTATTCATCATTGAGAGAATTTGGTACACTTTTTATAATGAAATTATAAAAAAAAAAATTATTTGAAAAAGAGTTGGATAGAAAGCAAATTAGGGCTTTGAAAAATATTTGTTTATGATAAGAAAGGGTACATGTATATATAACAGACAAACACACAAATCACAAACAGTAAAACAAATAAGAGGTATGCACAATTTAATATTCATACTATATATGTTGTTTGTTCCATTTAATTAATGGTTGAGGTATTAAGTTGATGATAGAAGACAATTCACGATATATTATATAGGTTTTATTAATTACATCTTCACTTGAAAATTTTTGTATTAGACATTTCTTTCATTTCTCAAGAGTGAAGTATAATTAAAACCTACACTTTCAGCCTCCTTATAATACAACTTTCCTACAATGCAGCCTTTGCTGGAAAATGTTATATGCTCAGTGACACTTTATAGTATCGATGTATGTTACATGTTTCGACGATATTGGATCCTTTTGAAACAATCAATGGTAAAGTACAATTTTTTTACCTACCACATTTGTGACTTACCTGACCCATTGAGTTTGTAGCGTGTTCAATAAACCCTAATGATTAGTTGAGGTACACACAAGCTGACCTAGACACTCCCATCACCAATAAAAAAAGTACAATTAATGATTAGTACTTAAAAAATCTTACATATACATACATAAATGCACATAAATATATGTGCATTTATGTGAAAACAAAAAAAAAAATAGAAAGGAAGAAAGCTCAAAACTTCATCTTCACCATTTAAACCCCAAAAGATAAACACTTCCTCCTTTCAAACAAATCCATTTAATTTTTCTCTTTATACTTTCTCTCGTTAACCATAAACCCTAAGCGATCAAAATTTACTCATGAAACCAATAATAGGAACACAAAATGAAAAAACTAAAACATACCCAGTTGAAATAGAAGCTTCATCTCGAGCCTACTCTTGCCACATAATAGGAGTCAATGGAAAATAAACCACACTTCACCCAGAGATTTGGTGTGAAATTTCCCTAATTTTTTAAAATCACACTTCACCCCCATATATATATATACTAATAGGGAAGATTTCCTACTAGTAATTATATTCCTTTGATATAAGGAAAAAAATAGAGAAAACAAATAAAATAAAATAAGAAAATAAACTAAACTAAAACAAAATCTTAAATTTATCAAGAAAATTATCTTACATAGTATCCATTTTGAAAAGAAGACAAATTATTTTGGTATTATTGTATTTCTTGGATGTAAAAAAGGCTAACCGTTTATTCAAAATGTCTTTCTTATCCTTTACATGATCATTAATTGGAGCAAAACTCCATTAGGGGTAAAATTTTTAGTTTCCAGACCTTAGAGGTGATAGGGTAATAAACCACAAATTGTCTAATTATTTAAAAAAATTAAATATATATTTATTAATTAGGACTTATTTTTCTTGACAAATATATAATAACAAAAATAGAAACAAGACAAAAGGTAAATAGATTTTCTTTTATGTTATAATTATTCATTTTATTATACTATTTCATATTTTTCTTTGAAAGAAAACTCTTTATTACCAAATCCTTTTTCTGAAAACAAAATAGTGCATATCATAAATTCAGATGGAAATATGCATATAATAAGTCTATGGGTGATAACCCTCATGCAGTATATATCATTACATGCGGCATGGCACGCAAAATGAAGATGTCGCTTGGACCCAACCTAGAGTGAAAATCACTACTCAGCACAATTCCTGTGTTGACCTAAAAATACTCAATGAATAGATGATTTTGTAAAACATTTTTTCTTTACTTTTATGAAAATATTGTCTCTGCAATTATGGTACAATTATCTGAATTATTTCTTATAAATTGATATTAATAAACTAGAGATATATTACATATTTTCTCTGATTCTGTATTTTTAATGTCTAGTATCTAGTACTGAAACTATTATTATTAACTGTTTACTTTATTAGTTAATTTCTAATACATTAAAACTAATAACTGATAAATGAACTGATACCATAAACTAATAATTGTTCTAATATTGTAAAACAGAAAATTGATCTGATACTATGAAACTAATAACTAATACTAAACTAATCATAAATGTTAACTGATTCATTAACAGATATGATCAGCACATATCAAGCGATTAAACAGTCAAACATACACCCATCTTAATAAAGAACTTTTGCTGTGAATGTGCTTCCTAGTTCCTATAACAATGTAATCTCTGTTATGACCTTTATTTCTTGCAAAATTTGGAAACAATGATACCCGTCAAAACTAAATTCTGAAAATAGTTACAAGAATCGGATGACTAATTGTTGAACAATAAAATTTACATAAGCATGTCAAATGTTTTCTTTTAAAATACAACTCATTAACTGTACATAAAATTGCATGACAGTAATAAGTCACAAGAACCAATCAATTATGGAAACATCTTCTTGCAAGTGTAATACAAGAGTGACTGTAAAAAACCTTTAAGTGTTTTCTCATCCGATACCTTTAGAAGGTGAGCAACTTTGCAGAATCCTGCATGATATCTATACAGACATTCTTCATTTATTGTTGGTTTCATCCCATTCCTACAAGGTTTTGGCCTTGTAAGAGTCCATTGCCCATATGGCCAATGAATGCATGTAATTTAGCGCTCTAAAACAATCAATCGTGGTCCAAGCTTCAGGAGTTTAGAAAGAATAACTACGCAGAAAATAGCAACAAGTCAGTCAATTATCAGGAACAAATAGTTCTGGAGCAGATATTTTTCAGTGTAAATTATGCAGAATGTAAAGTTTCCAATTGTAGTCGCCAAAAATTTATCCTAAAGGCATTAACCTGATGATGCCGGACGTAAAGGAAGGATGCAAATGGGTATTTAGTCCTTATCTTCTACATTTTAGGATCAAGTATTTGAGTCTTTGGTATCCCTTTCTTGATTTCTCCTCTTAACCTATTAATTTTTCTCTATCACCCTATATAGAATCCTATATTATCTATCTATGATATTCTTCTCCCCCTTCATCACCTAAGGAGCAAAAATATTATCTACTAGACATTATAACTATTGGAGTTTTGTCCAACATTTCACAACATCAAGAGTCTACTAGAAAATGGTTAAACGGTAGATCCACCAACTCATTTGCCAACCTTTTTCCTCCATATATGACAACAACTCATTTGCCATTTCTAGTTGTCCATTTTTACACAGCCCATTGATCAAAATGGTATATGTTACAACATTTGGCACCAGGTTTCCATTAAGACAAAACTTCTGAAATAGGTCCCAAGCAGTTTCGAATCTCCCTGTTTTACATAATCCATCAATGAGGGAACTCAAACCTTCAANAGAAGTTTAGAAAGAATAACTACGCAGAAAACAACAATAAGTCAGTCAATTGTCAGGAACAAATAGTTCTGGAGCAGATATTTTTCAGTGTAAATTCTGCAGAATGTAAAGTTTCCAATTGTTGTTGGCAGAAATTTATCCTAAAGGCAGTAACCTAACGATGCAGGACATAAAGGAAGGATGCAAATGGGTATTTAGTCCTTATCTTCTACATTTTAGGATCGAGTATTTGAGTCCTTGGTATCCCTTTCTTGATTTCTCCTCTTAACCTATTAATTTCTCTCTATCACCCTATATAGAATCCTATATTATCTATCTATGATATTCTTCTCCCCCTCCATCACCTAAGGAGCAAAAATATTATCTACTAGACATTATAACTACCGCAGTTTTGTCCAACATTTCACAACATCAAGAATCTACTAGAAAATGGTAAAACGGTACATCCACCAAAAAAAAATAAATGAACTGACAAAACAGATGATGAAATGAAATCCATACAGATTTGAGATAGATTTAGATCTAAAAGGCACAAACTCATACCTTAGTTAACAGCCTATTAACTAAGCTATAAGATAACAGCTTTAAATAAACTTAGGGGTTCTTACACGAGTGCATTTCAGACCATGCTGCTTCATAGATTTCAATGGCAATTTGCAATCCCATATCGACCAAATCTCCACGATCATCGTTACAGCAACTGCATATGTAACACCAGACCATATTTTTCTTGACTGCAATGTTGTAATTTTAACTGTTCCAACAGGTAGATCCCATTGACCTGCCCCTGTTCTGCATCCATATTCTTTAAGATATTCTACGGAAAAACCTTCTCTAATGCTCTTTTTGCTTTGTCTTCATCAACTATTGCTGAAAGAGCACATGCTTGTGCATAACTACATTAGAGACACGCCTGGTAAGTTCTAGTCTTATCAGATCTGAACTAAAAATGAGAAACAGAAACATGTGAAACACTATAAATAAATTAAGATTTATCAGGCCTGGATAATTGAGAATATCAATGAATGAAGTTAATCAGTTGCAACATACCATTGTCCAGTACATTGATTAGCTTGAATAGATGAACTTGAGCGGCTACCATTATTGTCGTAGTTGAAGTAAGAACCATTCCACAATTCCTCATATACAATTTTTGCTTACTGAAATTTACACCAAAAATAATCCTCAAACCCTTAAGATCTACTACATGTGCAAATCCCAACGCAACCTGCAATGTTGCCACCTCCAATATATGTACTTACAACAGAGACAGATCACGTATCGTATGTCTGATTAGGAAAACTATCATTCTCAATCATCCCACCACCATCCCTATCAAATTCAAACAGATAAAAGTGTTTACTGAACCTTCTGCATACCGTAACCAATATAGAGCATTTGGGCAACAGGATGAACTTTTGCAGGATTCTGCTCTGAAAAAAAGTTTAATGCTCACTAAAGTTTTATCAAGTAAACTTCAATTTCGCTTTTGGACCGGAAATTGAGGAAGCTCGTTCAAACATTCATTATAATTTTCGGCCTTCATTAGTAACTGCATGACTAAGGACATTGTACATTCAGTCGGCTTCACATTTTTCTCCGCCATCTTATGAAGGAGTTCAACAACTTTTGGTATCTCATTATTCTTCAGGAAACCAAACATAAGCGTAGTAAATGTGACTACATTTGGAGCACAACCTTTTTCCTCCATATATGACAACAACTCATTTGCCATTTCTAGTTGTCCATTTTTACACAGCCCATTGATCAAAATGCTATATGTTACAACATCTGGCACCAAGTTTCCATGAAGAGAAAATTTCTGAAATAGGTCCCAAGCAGTTTCGAATCTCCCTGTTTTACATAATCCATCAATGAGGGAACTCAAACCTTCAATGCCAACTGCAAACTTATTAATTACTAGAGTATTAAACATTTCCAATGCTTCCAAAACACATCCGTTCTTGCAAAGTCCATCAATGAAAATGCTATATATCCAGGAATTAGGGAAAACATCGTTAAGTCGCATCTCACCAACTAAATTCCGTGCATTTTTCACCTTAGCTATAAGAAAAAAGCCAGTTAACAAGGTGCTATATGTAATCACATCAGGTTTAATTCCTTCTGAAATCATCTCTCGATAAAGACTAAGAGCTTCATTGACTTCTTTATTCTTGCAATACCAATTGATTAAAGTATTGTAGCAAACAACATCAGGCCTATACCCCTTTCTAGTTATAGAATCAAACAACTCATTTGCATCACCAATTCTATCTGCCAAGCAATAACCGTTCATTAAAATGTTGTAGGTATAAATGTTAGGAACCACACCTCTCTGAATCATATGTTCCAAAAATAATTGTCTAGCCTTTTCAACCAATCCAGCCTTGCAAAGACCATCAATTATAATACTATAAGTAACAACATTTGGCCTACAAATAACACCAGATTCTTTATTCCCATTAACCATCTCTTCAAGCAACTTAATGGCAACACTTATTTTCTCTGTTTTACACAGCCCACCAATCAGAGTGTTGTAAGTGACCACATTAGCCCTACAACCAACATCAATCATTTTCTTAAACAATTCCATTGATTCCATAATCTTTCTCTCTATACACAGACCTTTAATCAAATAATTAAAAGTCATGGCATTTGGGCTAAAACCCTTCTTCAAAATCCCCCCCAAAACCGTAAAACTATCCAAAACCCTTTCAATATTACACAAGCAATTCATCAAAATATGCAAAGATATGAAATCTGGAGACAACCCAGTTGAATTCAACAGCTTATATAGCGAAATCACTTCATAATAATGCTTCTTCTTAGCTAGTGCACTAAACAAAGTAGTGAATGATGAAATTGGATAAAGGGGTTTCGAATTAATCATGTAATAAAAAAAGTACAATGCTTCATTCAGAGTAAAGCTACCTGATGGACAATTTTCTTCGAGGAATTTAGCAAGCGAGGATCGTTCAAGGGGTTTTTTGAAAGAATACGAAACTTCATTTTTGGAGCTTGAAGATGTGAAGTTGTGTAAGTGAGCTAACAAAAATAAAACATTAACTTTCGAAGATGGGCTTTGACAGATTGAAGACGAACGAAATGGGGATCTGAATCTCAAAACCATATATGAAGAGTGTTTTTGTGGGTCGCTTTTCCGAAGTAAGGTCATTGCAAAAGGCAAACGTATTAAAGAGAAATGTTTTGACAAATTTCACAAACAACCTTTAAGGTTTTCAAAATTACAAACTTATGTCAAGTATTGATCTTTCCTATTCAAACCACCTTTATGATTTCGAAAATTGAAGGGTAAAAATGTAAATCCACGATTCAGGTGTTTTTCGGTTTGAGGTGGTTTTCTACTAAATCCAAAAATCAAACAAAATGCAACCCAATTTATATAAGTATTCAATTGGAATTTTTTTACCTTTTTTTTAATAAAATTATAAAATTTAAATAAATCATGCTATTGAACTTTGTATTTAATTAACAATGATATATAATTTTTTTTTTTTTTATTTGTTCTTCAAACTTTTAAGTATACCAAAATCGATATTTCACATAATCGAAGGGTAAACCAAGGTTGGAGCTCATGACTATTCCTAAGTGAAATAGGGTTTTAATTGTTGCACCATATAAGTGCATCTTAAAATTAAAACATATGAGAATTATTTATTCAATTAAAACCCTAGACACCCTATTTCTCTCTCTCTCCCTCTCTCTCAAGAAGAAAAATTTTCTTGTTCTTCTTTCTTGATTCTTGAAGCCCTTAATTGTTCTAGCAAAATAATCAAGGGTTCTACGGATTATCTTCATGTGGACTTCTGTGAGTGCGATCCTACTTTGAATCGATTGACGAAAAATAATGTGAACAGTACTAGACGGTGAACAGTAACCATGAATAGTATTGTGAATAGTGTTCCTATCCGAATCAGAGATATTCGAAGGAGCCTCCAAACGTACGTAAGTATATTAATTCTTGAATGGATTTACTTTATACAGATTTTTTTTTTTTATAAACATGTAAACGGTATAATCTATACTACCTTGATGTGGGTGTTACAATTACAATATTTTTGAAGGAATTTATCAACCCTTGCTACCTCTTCAACGTTATGTACTGAATCTTTTGGTATAGTTGTAGTCACTTTACATGCATTTGTCAATAAAGATGAGGTTTTGGTTCCAGTAACCATTTCAGAAGAAGAATAACAACGACAAAGAGAGGTTTTGGACACCATTTGAGTAGCGGCATTTGTGGATTATCTAGGCTTCAAACTGGCTTAGTCTTTTGTGGGTTTATTCTTACATAATACAATCTCACAAGAAATGACAATGGGATCAAATGTATTTATCTTAATCCTGTAGGGTTCTCATGTAATTATCTAGACACCGAGGGCATGTTAAACGAAGCAAAATTATTGAGTCTTTCACTCCCTCTCTCATTCTGTCGTTAATGTAATGACACGTATTCATCTTTACTCTTCATCTTATTTTTAAACCATATTTGCTATATTATATTACAACATTGCCATTTTCTCTCATTTCTTTATGTTATTTGCGCATGTTTCAATGAATCAACATACAGTATTTTTTTTTTCGTTATCAATTTTTATTATTTTTAATTGTATTCCTTTGGGTGTAAACTGTCAATCAAGAAAAAAGTTAAATAAAATTTTATTGATGATTCTATGTACAATCAATTATGAATAAGTTTTTTTTTTTCTTTTGATTGGTTGATTGTATGTACAACTGAAATAACAAAGTTTTTCTTATTCTCCTGGTTTACTGGTATATATCTTTGACACGGTCTGATTCATAAAGTTGTAGACTAACACTCGAGGTTTGACGTGACATCTTTTGATTAGTCGATTATTTATACGACCATTACAAGGAATCTTTTTCTTTCTTTTAACAGTAATGTTTAGGTCCACAATCCAATCTTACAACCTTCACTCACAACTCCTTATATGACAGCTCGTAATTAGTCAGCTCGCAAATGGACAAACAAGACCCATAATAAGCAGTTGAGACTTATTTGCGAGCTAACAAATTGTGAGCTATCGGGGGTTGTGAGATTAGATTGTATAGCTCTTCTTTTAAAGGTTTGCAAGTACATATACATGATCTACTCTAATTCAAATAGCCATAAATCTAGTTGCTCCCTAAAGTTTTTTCTTTAATCACTTGGATGTCAAATTTGTTAAATATTGATTTTATACCCTTATTTCTAACTCCAAATTTTTAAGGTAAACAAAAGAGTGGCATTATTTGTAACTAAATTTACATTTTACACTCTTATTTTGTTTTAAGTTTACACACATTATTTAAAATTATGCATATTTGTTCATTATCAACATGCTTGCATAGGTACAACACAGACAACCCTGGATGCTGAAACAATGTTTTTTAATCAATTTTCTATAAAGTTTATGATTTTTATTATATATCCCATCAACTTATCCCTAACAAGTCAAGCCAAAATCCGAAATTTGCTCAAAAATGGACAAACCATGTAATACCTAGCAACGTAAAATCAGGCCATGTGATATGAATTGTGATCCATGACAAGTACTATAAAGAGAGAATTGGCATATAAATTTATTTATTATTATTATTATTTTTGATGATCGGACTATCCGGGCTAGCTTGCGCGCACCTTAACTAATCACTTAGGGCCTTGAAGTTGACAATCGGATAAATCCCCTTAGTGGTCACCTCTATTAGGAACACATAAATTCCTACCTTCCTTGGCTGATAGTTTTGTCTCTCGAGTTCAAGTCTCTAAGGTTATTAATACTGGTGGCTACTAGAACTCTTATTCGACTGATATTTTTCAAAATCCCTAAAAAATAGTTGAGATGTGCACAAATTGTTTGAACACTCCAATCATTAAAAAAAAAAAAAAAAAAAAAAAAGAAATCAATATTGATATGGATCTAAATTCCGAACCTGCAAATGCTATGTTCATCCCCACGTGAATGAGATTAATTTATAATTTACAAATGACCATTTATTTTCTCGAAGATCACAATCAAATAATAATTCCCAATAAATAAAATTTAATTATCAATTTCTACAATATGTTTATCTATATAATCCTGCAGCACACCCTGTTTATTGATTGCCATTTGGACTCCACGTAGAATTCCACATAAGATGCCACATAGGATCTTTGATAACAAATAAATAGTGGCATCCCAAAGGTCTCAAGTATGTAAATTGCTATTTATTAGTATTAATAGCACATATTGGGCATCCAAAGGTCTAATTAAAAGATATATAGATTCATGTTAGTCCCTCAACATTCACTTAAATATTAATAACAATTAAATTGTGGCATCCCAAATGTCTCAAGAAAACTTTGTATATATGTAAATTGTTATTTATTAGCAATAATAGCACACATTTGGCATCCAAAGCTCTAATTAAAAGATATATAGATATCCAAAGGTATAATTAAGAGATATATAGATTCATGTTAGTCCCTTCACATGCACCTTGTGCTGGAATCATGCCAAGAAGTTGTTTATTTTTTATGGTTGTGTTTAGTTTTTTTGTATAATGATTTTTATGGTCCTGATGGGTTTATCCTTAGTTTCTGCTATTGATTTCACATTTGGTCTTTGATGGGTTGTCTTTAATTTTTGTAAAGGCATAGATTTATCACTTTTGAGACCACTGGTAGGGACTTGATACCCTTACTGGGTCAGTTATAATGTAAAGATAGTAGCTTTATTGAACCAGACATTGTCTTTATGATTTGTTAATTTATGTGTGATTGCTTTATTTGTAGGTACTGGAACCTAGGAAGAGGTTAGTGAAGAAGGATGGATCAATTGGTTTGGAGAAACTATTAGCGACAAGGATCGCTATACAGTGTGTAAGGATGAGAAGGTTGTTCAAGAGAAGAATGTATTGGAATCAGTAGTTGAGAAGGGCATGCAAAATGGATAGAAGATTACATTCCCTGGAGAAACTGATAAAACTATAAGTGAATAATTCATTTTTAGTTTTATTAGATTTTGTTTGATCTCAGAGAAAATTGACAACCAAGGAAAGGAAAATGGAACTTAGAGTTTTATGTTATTTTTCCTTTCAATTTTTAAGCAATGTCGATATGGCGGTTGAAAGATGTGAGGTTTCAGTTTTGCAAAATATGTTTTGTCGTCGAGAAATTTGAGGAATACAGCTCAAGGAAAAGATATGTACTGAAAATATATATTTTGTTTTCTCAAGTTTCTCAGCCTTCAAATATAGTTGAGAATTAAGTTTTTCAGTGATTAATTATTTCATCTGCTTGATTGTAAACTGATTATTACGTAATTTGCAGGAATATGTATACAACAAGCTCCAATTCAGGTATAAGTTGCATATAAGTGTTGTTTTATTTGGTAACATTTTAATGATTTTCTTTAAGTATTTGTTAATTAGTGATCTGAAATTTCAAGGATTAGTTTGTAAATTTTGATCAATGGACACCTTTTGTTTTCCCAGTTACAGTTGGTACTTCACATTTGTTCAAGGATTTGTCTATATTGTTCTCATTTATCTTCAAGGTTTCACCACTAAACAAATGGTGAATCCATGGAAGACTTATGTGAAGCTCTCCGCAGTCTTAATGGGTTCTCATGGACTTACCAAAGGGTCTTTGGCTTTCTTAACTGTCCAGCACAGCTCACGTTCAAATCCACAGAGGTAAATATTAAACTCCATTACTTTTTTTAATTTCATGTTGAAAAAAATAACAATTTTCCTTACTAGACATTTTGATAACTTTAGTTTTTGTTTGACAGTCAAATTGGATCTCTTAATCTGTAATGGTGTAAATGGCTCAAATTAGCTCATTGACTCTTGCAATGTGAATCAAGTAAACAGGATCAATTTGGCTATAGCTGGAAATTTATTTTGTCATCTTAGGTTTTGCCTGTAATTGTCATGGGTGCATTCATACCAGGCCTTAGACGAAAATACCCCGTTCATGAATATGTATTTGCAATACTTTTAGTTGTGGAGTTGATTCTTTTTACCTTAGCAAATGCACAAACTTCACCAAATTTTAGTATGATTGGTGTTATAATGGTATTGGGTGCTCTAATCATGGATTCATTTCTTGGTAATTTGCAAGAAACAATCTTTAC